TTAAAATCTGCTGAAAATGTCTTTTTTCAGCACTCTTTGAAACTTTAAAAATTTATAAAACAAAACGGCCTACAAAATTTTTACAGTCTTTATTTTACAGTTAAAATATATGTTTATCAAATAAAGTCTTATGTTATAACTAATCATGGATCACTTTAAGGCCCTGTCACACAATAACCTTTTAGACAACTTATGAGACTTTGAGGATGTCTACACTGAAGATGGAATTAAAATAGTCAACTGAAAGCCTCTTTTGGACCTATACATACTATCAAATATGAGTTATTTATAAATACACTATTTTTATAAGAAATAATAATTATAAGACATCATCATTTGTCTAAAACGTTACAGTGTGACACCAATGCTGAACAGAATGTGCTTAATTTATTTAATAGTTTCAGTGCAGAAGCTCTCAGACAACTTTTAATTTTTCTGCTGTTTTGTTGTTGTCAAAATTGTTAATTCGCTACTTTTCCAGCATTAAAAAAACATTAATACGTGCAACTGAGTCAGGATTAGTGTGCTCTGACTTAATATGGCACAGACAAAGTATATATAAATATATAAATGTGTTGATGTCACTCTACTTTTAGAGACGTTTAAATCTTTTAGACCTTTAAAAAACTGATTTACAGTTCATTTTTTTAAAATCAGACTTGTAGTTTTTGCTCAAGACATTTTGTATAAGCCTAGTTTTCCTTTGTTGRTGTCTCATTAAGAGTGCTGTCAGGGAGTGACAGACGGCAACCATAATAATCCATGGCTGCTGCTTTAACATGTCCATGCCCACAAACTTCTGATCAATCACACAATAATTTRGTATGTAGAGGAAGACGAAAACTTTGCCTGTGGGGTTGTGACAAAAAGGGGCATAAGATACGAAGCTGAGAACAAAAAGACATGATTTTCATCACACAACTACGACAGTGAGAACAGATTCAGACACCAGTAGACAGAGTGTCAGCCTCACAGACCGAAACTGGAAGTTGGTTCCACAAGAGAGGAGCTTGATAACTGAAAGCTCTGCCTCCCATCCTACTTTTAGAAACTCSAGGAACCACAAGTAAACCTGCAGTCTGAGAGCCAAGTTCTATAGGAAAATATGTAACAATAAATTCTTTAATATGAGACAAAGTTTTGTTAATCAACTTAATTAACTAATCAATGATTCTTTTATCACATTTTCCTTTCTTTATTTTGTTAACAAATAGGTAAAGATCCCATTTGTTTGTAGTTTGGAAGCTTGAAAAAAATGAAACAATTTATCATTCTATAGTTTACAAATTAAACCAAGAACTTGTTGAAACACAATGAAGCTCAGGTTATTTATGATTTTGAAAAACAGGAAACTTTTTCCAAGTTTAATCCATTTTTTATCATTACCTCATAAATGAGTATTTTATGAAAATGTTGAAACATTTACTGTAGCTTTATTTTATGTTTTTAGACGGGGTTTTGTGGTCCCTCCTGCAGATATTGAGCTTAATTTGTACATGGGTTTGTACTTTACACATCTGTGTTTTTATTATACCACAACCAAACACACAGTTACCCTCTGAAAACTGATCTCTGGTTCTGTGTGGCAGCTCCTCCGTGTGTTTTACGCGTTCAGGCTGTAACCTGTTTGTTCTGCTGCAGCGGGAGCGGCGAGGACTCGTTGGACCGGCTCCTGCTGCACACTGGGGCCCCACGCAGGAAGAGCGCCACCTCCCTGAGTAAAACAGAGCCCCCTCTGCTCCGCACAGGCACACGCACCATCTACACGGCCGGACGCCCCCCCTGGTATGACGAGCACGGGGCTCAGTCAAAGGAGGCCTTTGTCATCGGTAAAYCCCCTCGCCGAGGACGTTTTAGTTCCTCTGTGCTGCTTTTCTGTCTCTGACTTCTAGTTTACAGATGCAGGATGTTTTTTTTATTTCATCCATAAACACTTTATTGCAATCACACAATACCAGATGATGTTTGTTACAGTCTGAAACACACAATTAATAAACCTTTGTGGATCTGCAGGGTTGTGTGGGGGCACAGCCTCAGGGAAGACCACCGTGGCCAATAAGATCATCGAGGCCTTGGATGTGCCGTGGGTTGTGTTGCTGTCTATGGACTCTTTTTATAAGGTGAGCATTTCAGTCTGTGTTTTTAATCCCAAACTGCCATGAAAGACAGGCAATCATGTAATTGCCTGTGCTTTTGTGTGTGCGTGTTTGTGTTTGTTTTAGTTTGTTTAATAGCAAAATCTCTTATGAACCAGTCGACAAACATACAACCTACATCTACACACCTTATTGCCTTTTTTAATTAACTCACTTCAAGATGGCTGTCACAGCTATTCAACCCTATCCAACATAAACATAGCTCTAACTCATAGCAGTTTTACAGATATTAAGCTCAAATTTGGTGTGCTGCTACCTGAGAGTCATCCCAAACATGTTCAACAAGAACTACCAGATCACAAAAAACTATTTTTTAAAACCTTGACAGGTGACCCCTCAAAGAAAGCTACTTTCATTTTTTTAGTGTCTCATGTTTATTTGTTGCATAAAGGTTTTTTTACCATTATTTATCCAGGCAAATCCCATTAAGACCACAGATCTCCAAGGGAGGCCTGAGCGTGAAGACAACCTATTGTAAAMGTTTTTGTGTTGTGGGGGAAACAGGAGTACCCAGAGAAAACCCACGCAAGAATGAYGAGAACATTCAAACTCCACACAGAAAGACCCCAGGTCTGACCCGGGGATCGAACCACCATCATGAAAAACATTTCACAAACACATTTTCTGTCTTTACTTTCTGAGTTACGTTACATCTTAGTTACATTTTTTTCCACTAACATTTTATACTTTAGCGCACTGTTCATACATTTTGCTAATCTTTTACTTAATGTTAAAAAATGTGTAAAAATTAAATCCTGAATTTAAATGTGTAAATTTAAATGTAAAAGTTAAATCTTAAATGTTGCAGCTAAATGATAAAACTAACATTTAAGAATTTTGGTATGGAACACAGCCTTTGCTGTTGGTGTGCCGCTTTTGTTGTGACATCATCATCCTGCGACTAAAGCAAACACTAACGCTGCTGTAGATAATATTTAAAATCTAAATACAAAATGTGTTCATTGAAAACTATATGGGTGGTAGGTTTGGGCATAATCTTATCGTGTGCAATTAATCATCAGAAAAACGTTAATCGATTATTTTTTGGCACTTGACGATTAATATGATTAATGCCACCAGGCAGAGTCTGCTCGATGCTCCTCTCCGCTTCAAATATGACGAACATTAAAAAAATTTCTGTAATTTATTTATCTATCAACACAATTTAAAATTAGATTTGTAGCCTGAAGTCTGTAATTTTGACACAATTTGGAACAGATTTTTATGAAGAGCAAATCTTTCCCACTATTGGTCATGTGACTAGGACACAAGGGTGTTCAGGGACTCCAGGGGATTAATCGTCAAATTAATCGTTATCGGCTAAATACCACAGTTAATCGTGATACATTTTTTTGCCAATATTGCCAAACTCTAATGGGTGGTACCAGCAGTACCGGCAGTTTGAAGTGCAGCTTGGACACCGACTGCAACTGCGAGTTTGATGTCTTATAGGTAAGTGTAGCAGCGTTCAAGTGTTAGTGGTTTCTATCGTCTCAGGATGATGACATCATAACATGAGTCAAGCACCAATGGCTGCATTCCATTCCAAAATACCTAAATGTGAACTTCAACATTTAAGGTTTAACTTTTACATTTAAATTTATACATTTAGATTTAACATTCAGTAAAAAATTAGCAAAAAGTACGAACCGTGGAAAGAAGGATCCTTTTCAAGAGGGAATGTTTTGAAAATCATAAAACGTTTTCATCACAGCATCCTGAAGTAATCATCGAATCGCAGACATTGTTTTATTTTGACTTTGTGGCAACACTTCTGATTACAGCCTGCAGATCAGAAACAGAAACAAGTCATTATACGACCCATCATTCTGTCTGTTTGTGTTTGCTCTGTCAGGGTTTATCCCCAGAGGAGCAGGTCCTGGCTGCTAACAATGACTACAACTTTGACCATCCCGGAGCGTTTGACTTCGAGCTGCTGGTCGCCACGCTGAGAAAACTAAAGCAGGGGAAGAGTGTGAAGATCCCTGTGTACGACTTCACCACGCACAGGAGACAGAAAGACTGGGTGCGGTGGGTTTTATCATCTTCAAGCTGCCTGGTCTCTACAGAAAAGTAATAAAATATCCATCTTTACATATTGGGAGGGAGAAAAGTGGAGCATGAGTTCCTGAGGGACACATTCTCTGAGTCAAACATGTAACATTAAATGTTGTTTTTCTTTACAGCATGTTTTCTCAAAGAGACGTGCTGCATATTTATTTTCCTGGAAGCTGAAACCAAACATGAGCAGTTTTCTTCTTCTTCCACCTTCTTGTAGAAAAATGTGTATGGAGCCAGTGTTATCATACTCGAAGGAATTATGGCTTTTGTAGACAAAGAGCTTCTTCAGGTGAGGTCTTTGGCTCTTTCCCTTTTTGAAGAATTCCTCAGCGAGGTAATCAGGAGCTGCTGTCTGTGTTCGTCTCYTTTCTTTCTGCAGCTGCTGGATATGAAAATCTTCGTGGACACAGACTCAGACATCCGACTCGTGCGCCGCCTCCGCAGGGACATCACCGAGCGGGGGCGGGACATCGAAGGCGTCATCAAGCAGTACAACAAGTTTGTGAAGCCGGCCTTCGAGCAGTACATTGAGCCGAGCATGAGGCTGGCTGATATCGTTGTGCCGAGAGGTAGAAGCATTTTTAACAACTTGCCGAGAGGAGACACAAACAGAACCTTAAACTGTTTGTTTATTTATATATTTTTTTTTACCTCAGGTGGTGGGAACATGGTGGCCATTGATCTGATAGTCCAGCATGTTCACAGCCAGCTGGAGGAGGTGAGACACCAACAGACTCTTAAGGAGTGGCGCCACCGTGTGTCCAATGGTTGTAACTTCAGTTGTTCTTATAGTTCGTTTCTTCAAAATAAAAGAACAGAAACTTCACTAAAAATCTGAGGAGCTGAGATAAATTATTGTTGAAAGGTTCAGTGTGCAGCCATATTTACAGAACAATAGACCTCCACTGTTCTCTCACAATATTTTAAAACACTTACCCTGAGAGTCACAGCAAACATACAAACACAAGTTTCACTGGACTCACAGACATCTTCTAAAGCTGGGGGGTCAAACTCATTTTCACTGAGGGCCACATAAGGGCCAGTATTTAACTTTGACGTTTCCTGTTTAACTTTGACTAAACACTAAACGTTTCATTCCTCGTCTCATTGCTGCTGCTGAGCACCGCTAACAAACAATAACTGCTCTATGTGGTATTTCCTGCATATAAACAGCGTTTTAACACGTCCTCTTATAAACACTGAAAAGTACTAAAAAGTACTGTATGACTGACTAAATGTGAAAAAACTAATACAGAAATACCAATAAAAGAAAAAGGAAGAGCATTTTACTCACTGAGTTGTGGTGAGTAAATTTGWGTCCTGATTTCTAAACTCTCCCGCTTTTTCGACTGTAGGGGTGTTCCAGTTTTAAAGTTATGACTTGRATGTGGGAAATTCCCACTTCACAGTGCAGCAGGTTTGCAGCAAAAAATAGCCAGAGAAAATGTACCAAATGGAGATTGTACACAGTGAGTTTTGCCAGCTACTTTTGAACCCTGTTCACCTCCACCTCGTGGTGGTATTTCATTTTACAAGTCAAAATAACCAACATGCATTATGGGAAATGTAGTTTATGGTCAATGCTTGCTTTAAAGCAGRGTARACTTATACAGGTTAACAGGTTAAGGTAGTAATGTATCTTTGAAGCTCTTGCAGGCCACATAAAAGCTGTAGTGGGCCACATTTGGCCTGCAGGCCTTGACTTTGACGCATTGTCTGTCACTCATGGTGACAAATTGCAAACGGCATTTGTGAGGTAGTCTCGAAAATGTCTCAACAAGTTTTCAATTCCCTCACGTGAGTCTCAGGGCCTCACTTATGTCAATGGAATTTTAAACATGTTGAAAACATTAAAAAAAATAAAACAAAATAAAATCCAAACAGACACAAAATTGTTGCAGGCATCTAAACCTTTCTCAATTTAGTTTCTGTAATTTCTGTAATTTTCTGAATTGCCACTTGTATTTTTTTATTTATTTATTTCTACTTTGTAAAAATACAGTAGGTTGGGCCCAGTGGTTCTTAAGTGGTCAGTGTCACGGTCTCGTAGTCCTGAAGCTGCAGGCTCGAATTCAGATTGCGCCAGGAAGGGCATCCGGTGTAKAACACTTGAAAACCTTTTGCTCGTATTGGCGACCCACGACGAAAGGTGCAGCTAAAGGAAACTAACCACATGAAAGTACAGGAGATACTTTGTTTAACTTGACATCATAAGCTCTGTTTGGACTTTWAAAAWAAAAWGTGCATCWAAGACCCAAAAGTACCCAAATGACCCTGATCAAAGTTTTACATACCCTGGTTCTTAATGCTGTGCAGTGCCTCCTTGAGCATCAATGACAGCTTGAAGTCTTTTGTGATGCTTTATTTTCTCACATGGTAAAACTGCCCATTCTWTTTGGATAAATGTCTCCAGTTCCTGTAAATTGTTAGGCTGTCTTGCATGAGCTGCATTGTTGAGATKTCTCTAAAGTGACTCAGTGATAATCAGGTCAGGGGACTGAGATAACCATTCAAGAACCTTCACTTTTTTTCTGCTGTAGCCAGTGACATGTTGACTTGTGTTTTGGATCTTTCTCATGCTGAAAAGTTTAAAAGTATCCCGTGTGCAGCTTCCAAACTCYTGAGAGCCAATTTTCCTCCAGTATTTTCTGAGAACATGCTGTGTTCATGTTGCCATCACTTCTGGCCAAGTTCCCTGTGTCTGTGTAGTTCAAATATCCCAAATCATCAGTGATACAGCTCCGCATTTCACAGTAGGATGGTTCACTTTTCTCCATGGGCGTTGTTGACTCTTCTCCATATGTAACAATAAAAATTGTGACCAAAAGGTTCTTAACTTTGTTCCAGAAGTTTTGCTGCTTAGTGGCATTYATACAGTAATGGCTTTCTTCTGGTGACTTCATCATGCAGCCCATATTTTAAGTTTTTAAGTGCCTCTCTATTGTGCTTTTTTATTTTACTGTTATTTAATCAGGCAAATCCCATTGAGATCACAGATCTCTTTTGCAAGGGAGACCTGGGCCATCTTCAAAACATCCACACCAATTTTTCAGACAGTTGAATGTATTTGTGTTTTTTGTCTTTGCCTCCAAAACAWTTTTCTTGCCAGTTGTGGCTGCAGTTTTTGTTGGTTTACCTGATCGTGGCTTGATTTCTGCAGAAGCCCTCATTTTCCACTTCTTAAKTAGGCTCTGAACAGTGCTGATCGGATATTGCTTGATTTTTTTTAATATCCTTTTCCTGTTTTATAAAGTTCCACTATCTTTTCCTGCAGATCTTTTGATAATTCTTTGGCTTTCTTCATGGCTCAGAACCCACCATCAATCCAACACTGGGTAAAACATGTCAGGAGCCTTGAAACTTACTGACTTTTTTATACACACCTACTAATTACAAGCAAACAGATCACAAGTTCATCTAAGAGCTGAATTCTCCCTGAGAGATTCTTTGGAGTTGTGTCGAGAGTTCCAGGGAAGTTTTTTTTTTTCTCAGTTCACTCTCATTCTGTTTTTTCAAACTGGTTTGCATCAGTGTTGTTTCATTATTCCCATTTAACACATTCGTGTTCTCAAGACGATGAATCTTCATTTTCATCACTAATATTTTCTGGAGKATTTTGCTGATGTCCTCTGAAGAAAATGGAGACATTTTGAAACTTGTCCTTCAGTTCTCAGTCAGCAGTTAAATTGTTATCAGAGTTTTCTTGTCCTGTTGCTGTTTGTTCATTAAAAGTGAAAACAAAAATGCGGTTTTCCCAAGATAATCCAATCTTGGTTGTCAGCATATTTCTGTTGTTAAAAAAGTTGTATTTATTTATTTATTTATTTATTTATTTATTTATTGATCCTGAGCAGTCCTTGCTCACTCATATCAGTCAACCTGCAATGTGGTCTCGGTCGATCGATCTCATAGTGGATCCTGTTCGTGACGCCAAATTGCTGTGAAAAACATTTATTTAACAAAGACAGAAATAGGTGACCCAAAGAATAAAGATACTTTGTAGAATGGTCAACRGAGGTTGTTTATTGCAACACCAGGAACACAGAGATCAACATCCAGCCATCAGAATCTCCCTGCTCCCACTTCTTGGAGGCAGTTGACGCCTCATATATACTGTTTAACAAACATTATGTCATCTTAAAAAGTAAGATTTCATCCTAAGGGAATGCTGGGTCAGGGGAAAAAAAGATAAATACAAGTGATATCTAAGAGTGATTGTTATTAATCAAATCTTGTTCTGGCTTTAATCATTCCATTTACTGACATGGTGCCATGACAAACTAGGTCATTAAACTAAGTCATGAATTACTGGTGTACAACAAAAAGTATTATTTCCATTACAGATGAAATAATTTAACCTCCATTTACACATGTGTGCATTTTATTGTAGCAAAACTTCCAGGGTATGTAAAATTTTGATGAGGGTCATTTGGTTTCTGTTGTAATTAAAATGTAAAAAAAGGTTTGAAAATAAATGGCTTCTCCCAACCATTAAGCAGGAATGAAAAAAAGAGTGTATTTATTTATTTTTTTGTTATCATTCATATTTGTTCAAATTACAAAATAATAATAAAAATAATAAAAATCACTAATTCTGCAAYGGTATGTCAACTTTTTAGCGCAACTGTATAAAAGTCAACACTTAGTTATAAAATAAAATGAAATCTGTTATCTAGAAGTCAACGGTTATTTAAGGAATGATTTCATTTTTCTTGGTGTCATTTTAAACTGTACCACAGTGAGCTGAGGGATGCTCGTTAATAATTAATTTAGTTTCCTGTAACTTCAGCTCATGATGAACCTCTAAAATAAAGCAGTTTCTAAAATGAGAACATGACGACTGTGAATCACTGTATGTCTACTAATAACACATCAGACCACTGGGTGGTGTCATTCATCACCTAATCTGATGGTCTTTATTCCATATTTATGAAAGATTTTTTTAAAATAAAGTTGAAAATTAGCTGTGATCTTTATATAATGGTTTATCCTGGCAGTCTGTAACATGTGGTCATATAAAAGCTTCAAAACAATGCTGTAGTTTTATGTAACAGTTTATTTTAGCAAACACTTCTGGAGTTGTTGTTTTCTTTATTTCTTTTATTTTTTTTAGGTTTTGTTTTTTAGCTTTTTAGTTTTTTTAGTTTTTTTTTTAGTTTTTTTTTTTTTAGTTTTGCTCAGAGGCTGAGGAACCGGACATGTTGCTCTGAATTCTGTTTTCTTTCTCACTGGATTCTTTGTCTTTGTGTTTCTCCTCTCCTCATGCAGCGTGAGCTCAGTGTCAGGTATGCAGAAACATGTTTTGGCTTCTCTGCCGTGATGACAGATTTAGATCCCCGCTCTGAACACCCTGACCTTCACTCTCTGTCAGTCCACATTATGTGTRTGAGAGGCTTTGCTCACAGTCGGCCTCATTAATCTGTTTCTGTTTAGCAGAACGACACACGAAGCCTTTTTCACCCAACATCCTCTTCTGTTTTTTCCTCAGGGCGCTCCTGGCGTCCGTCCAGCAGACGCAGCCGCTGCCGCAGACTCTGAGCGTGCTGGAGAGCGTGCCGCAGGTCAGAGGTCTGCACACCATCATCAGGTAGCAACATGTGACCACGTGCAGCTCACAGTCCGGCCCGCAGAGCCTTTGAGGTTTGAGAACAGTTGTTGTGTTCTCCTGTAGGAGCAGAGAAACCAGCCGAGATGAGTTCATCTTCTACTCGAAGAGATTAATGCGCCTTCTCATCGAACACGCGCTGACGTTTCTACCATCTCAGGTGGGCGGAGTCAAGTAACTGAGCAGTCAAATGTTTGAGTATAGAAACTTTTTACATGCATATGTTTCCCCATTTTCCTTAAATATAGCCAGCCAGAAGCATTTAAACAGTTACGGCCAAATTTGAAAGCTTTACAAACCCACAGTCTGACTAAATGTGTATAAAACTACTCTTTGCACAAAGTGTCTAAAATACCACAAAGGACCAAAGGTCACTTGTTGACTTCTGTCACAGTTCATATCAGTTTTAGGTTTGTGTGTTTCTGTCTACAGTGTATAAAAGAAGTCTACAATCATCTGTTGCAAACGCAGGTTTTTGTAATGGAAAAAAAATAAAAACAATAAATCAGTAAACAGATTTTCCAACCTTCAATGTAACAAACTCTGAAGTAATCTGGTGCAGTAATCATTGTATAAATT